TACCATATTTTGCCTAGACAAAGCAAAGGGTTTCGCCTCCAGGACCCCTGCTATTTAGCCAGATTGATACAGTGTATACTAGCAGTATAGTGGGGGCAGGCAGAGATGAAAGCAGCCATTATCTTGCTTATTTGCAAACCACACAGTAAATTGTATTCACAAATAGTTCTTACTTTTTAATACTTAAAACCATATGCTATAGTACCTACACTTATTAACACTCAAAATTTCAATGATTTCCTTCATGTTTATTACAGTATTATATAGGGTAAGTCATATTTTCAATATCTGAGGTTGTATTCAATTGTGGTAAATCTTTAAAGGACGCGCTCGCCAGACACTACGTCCTCAACTTGACATCCCAAAATATATTCATCAATCGAAGATGCTGTGACGGGGCTTGCAACTTTTTGTCCGCTACAAGAATATCATATTCAATTTGCCCCAACAGTGGGTCCATTTGGTAAAGATGAACCTTAGTAGTAATTCTGGCAATTCTTAATAGTCCCGTTTCTTGCTGCAAATGTGAAGATAATATAAGTTTATGGGGAACTGAGGGGGTACAGCCCTTCATCAACCCTCAAGATTGTTGGCTGGAGTTATAGGGTTTTTACAAATGCATCCTTGCCAACAGGAATTCGTGTATTTTCACTTAACGAGTCAGTCTGCCTGAAATTTGTGAAAATTATATTTACTCAGTTAAATTCCATATAGGTGGAGAGGGAAAAACAAGACTGTAGGATTAAGAAAATTGTTATGAATGATGCTTATTTTTACTTTAGTTTTTAATGAATATGCATTCTAAATATTTCACTTAGCAGTACTAATATTAAGTAATCTTTTCCTTTTTTACAGGAAAATCTCGTCGCACGCTTGCATTTCAGTATAGGATAAGCCATAGTTTGATCACTTACATCATACCAGAAGATTGTAGTGCAATTTACTCCGTGTTAAAAGATGCTCATCTGAAACTTCCATCACCATCAGAGGAATGGAAGCAAGTAGCGAGTGACTTTAATAGTAACTGGAATTTTCCTATGTGTATTGGGGCCATGGAGGGAAAATGATTTCTTTTAAGGAAACCACAGAATACAGGATCTGAGTTCTATGATTATAAGGGACACCTAGCATGATAATGTTAGCACTTGTCGATGCTCATTACAGATTCCTGTATGTTGATGTGGGAGCTCATGGACGAGCAAGTCATGCAGGTGTGTGGGAACGATGTAAATTAAGAGAATATTTAGAAAAGAAAATGCTGCAAGTTCCACCTCCTGATACATTACCATTTGCAGATAGTAAAGTTCCATATGTAATTATTGGTGATGATGCCTTTCCCCTTAAAAGGTATCTTTTCAAGGAGGGAGAAAAATGCTTCAGAATTCCACATTTTGAATGTTCACGGGATCTGTGATTTCAACTTGAAGATCGCGCCTACGCGTTTAATACTCGTCAGTCAAATGAGAATCCATGGTCAATGCTTTTGTTTTTTACTTTTTATTCGTACTTTAGCTTATATTCAAGTGTAAATAATGTAAAACTAAATATGAATAACTCTGAATAATTTTAAATGCATAATAATATTTATACTATGAAATGAAAAGAAATGTATACCATGCATACTATAGATTCTGTGCAATTTTCCCATTCGTCCAACAATGGACGATTGGGTTTCCATCGCATCGAACGTGTGGGCGAATGTCCAGTGAAGTGAGTCCATGCGTGGGCAAATTCCATTCCAAATTGCTGGATTTCACGAATCTATGGGTAGTCTGACCGTACTTTAATAGACGAATTCGATCATGGCAGTTGGTGATTCCTTTCTCCTTCCCAATCCTCCCCTTTCCCTCCGCCACTTACTCTTACCTTTTGTGATGTGATCGCCTCTCTTTTCTTCGCTAGCATTTTCTTCAGGTCTTTGGCTTCCTTCTGCAGTTCCTCCGCCTCGGCCTCCCTGTCTTCACACTCGGCGCTCACGTCCTGCACCTCGTCCTGAAGGCAACACACGCCAGGTAAGTTTCTGTGGCCAGGGCCTCGGGGAAATTACTGCATGACAAATAGTGTGACCAGATAACCCTAAATAAACAGATAAGTAAATAAATACCGACAGATGCATAGATAGAGATGGTTGAATGAAAATATAGCATTCCGGAAGCTAACTTAATCATCAGTTAATAATTTGCATTTTGGTTTACATTGAGTTTTCCAACCTATCTACTATTGCTAGTCTCTCTCTCTCTCTCTCTCTCTCTCTCTCTCTCTCTCTCTCTCTCTCTCTCTCTCCTCTCTCTCTCTCCTCCTTTCTCTTCTCCTCTCCCTTCTCTCCCCCTCCCTATCTTCCTCCTCCTCCTATCTCTCTCCTCCCTCCCTCCTCCTCCCTCCTCCCTCCCTCCCTCCCTCCCTCTCTCTCTCTCTCTCCTCTCTCTCTCTCTCTCTCTCTCTCTCTCTCTCTCTCTCTCTCTTCCCATCTCCATCACTTCTTAAATCACTATTCCGTTTTTCCTCAGACCTTCCTTTTATCTTTCTCGCTCCTACTCTCACATGAATGTCTCTCTCTCCTCTGCCATTCCTCTTCTTTCTCCTCGCTCCCTTTCTCACGCACGAACCTTCAGCGATCTGATCTCCTCCTCCCTTTCCCTGATGCTTTCCCTCAGGTCCCTGGCCTCCCTCCGCAGGACGGTCGCCTCCGCCTCCTTCGCGTTCAACTTCCTGTTCATCTCCCGGACCTGCTCCTCGTGCTCCTCCTGCAGAGGGAAGCGGGCGTCAGGAATGTCTCTGTAGCAATGAGCTCGAGGAAAGCTCACTGACGTCATAAGCATGGAATCATGGCGTCACAAGCATGGAATCATGACGTCACAAGCATGGAATCAGATGACTGAGAGATAAGTGAGATTCAGTGAACAGGTTGACTTAGTTTTTAATGAGGTTATTCCCGAAACATATAAAGAGGAATAGCTTTATATATATATATATATATATATATATATATATATATATATATATATATATATATATATATATATATATATATATATATATATATTATAATATATATATATATATATATATATATATATATATATATATATATATATATATATATATACACACACCACACACACACACACAACACACACACACACACACACATATATAGATATATGCGTATGTGTGTGTGTGCGCGTGTATGTATGTATATATACATACACACACATATATATATGTATATATATATATATATATATATATATATATATATATATATATATATAACGATTAATTTTCTATATACATTTTCATGGCTACATTTGATTTTGACGTGTATACAATTTCTCTGTGAAAACCCACCTGCATCCTCTTCCTCCCTTCCTTCCCGGCCGCAGCCAGCGCCCTGCCCTGAAAGGAACTCGATTTAACAACCTTGACTTCGTGTCCCATTACATATATATTCATCGAAGCACGGACATCCTTTCTTTTGAATCGAGCAATAAAAGCGTCACCAACCGTGAGGTCTAACGTAATAGCAGATCTTAAAGAGCAAAAGCGTTCGTTCCGTCTTATACCATGGAGAAAAGTTCCTGCGCGGAGGTGGGCCCCATGAGGTCCTTCGGAGTCTTTCCCTCCAGATTCTGCTTGTGGACGAGGGCCCCGAGCGCCAGGAGTGTGACCACAGCGGGACGCTTCCCTTGCGAGGCTGCCTTGTGGAGGGGCGTGTCGCCCGCTAAGTCCTCGGCGTTCACTTCCGCCCCGCGGCCCCGGAGGACTTCCAGCATAAACGTCTTTCCGGAAGTGGCCGCCACGTGCAGCGGCGTCCTGCCTGGAGGATGCCACGGGGGAACAGAGAAGGATAGGGAGAGAGAGAGAGAGAGAGACGAAGAAAAATAAAGAGAGAGAAAGGAAGGGAAAGAGAAAGAGAGAGAGAGACGAGACAAAGAAAAAAAATATATATAGAGAGAGAAAGGGAGGGAAAGAGAAAGAGAGATAATGAGGGAAGGGAAAGAGAGAGAGACAGAGAAAGAGAGATAATGAGAGAGAAGTGATGTGAGGGAGAGAAGGAGACAGAGAGAGAGAGAGAAAAGGTAAGGAGAGAAAGAGAGAGATATAAAAGAAAGAGAAGAGGAGAGATGGAAAAGGACAGACAGACAGACAGAAGGATTAATATGATTGAAAATAAAGAGGATGATAAAGATAGAGATGAAGATAGCAATAATAATGATGATGATGAGAGTGATGGTTATAACAACAATAATAATAACATCGTGAACGGTCCTCAAAGTGCATAAGGACAACTCCAAAAGCCTCGACGCCGAGCGCCGCGGCGGCCGGCGGCCTCACCCCACAGGTCCCTGGCGTTCGGGTCGCCGCCCCTCGCCGTCAGCGCCTCCGCCAGGGAAGTGTGGCCCTCTCGCGCCGCGAAGTGGAGGGGACTCCACCCTGTAGAAGGAAGATGCTGGTATCAATCGTAAGATGATGAGAATAAGAGGGGGATAGAAGTGACTAGGTACAGATTGAGTAAGAGAGGGGGATTGCGGGTGATAAAAGGACATGATAACGGGATGGATAATGACGAACAAAAATAAAAGCAGAAGCGGGATTGAAAATGAGACTGAAAGACTACGATGAAGAGCATGGAAAGAGCAAGGGGATGATCATGACTAGAATAATGAAGATGATTAGGAGGAAAATGAGGCTAGAAGAAACACTATACATGGATAGTACCAGTGCAAGAACTAGAGAGAGAGAGATAAAGAGGGGGGTTAGCGAGAGGGGAAAGTACACGAAAAAGAAAGGAAGAGGAGAAACAGAGGAGAGGAAGAAGGAAATGTAATAAAAAGAAGAAAATGAATGAAAATAGGAGGAGGGAAAAAGAGAAGTGGGAAGGAGAGCGAGAGAGAGAGAGATGAAGATAGGAAAGAAAGGGAAGGAGGAAGAGGAGAAAGGGAGGAAGATAAGAGAAAAAGGAACAAGAGAGTGGGAGAAGAAAGGTAGGAGAGGATGAA